ATTTCAAATGCAACACCCTGTACATTATTTAATCCGATTAAGAAATATTTGAAAATAAATATGAAAATATTTGTGACAAAACATGGATTAAAAAAAAGTTTTTTTTTAATTGGTAAAGATGCCCCTTTCACAATTTTAATTAAACAAATTTACATACATATTAGTTATTACAACATCCCTTTATAATAAATTTATATGTCATGACCGTTTTGTATATAGTATTATCGTTGAGTGAAGAAGAAGAAATTATTAATCAATGGTATTATGTTAAGTAATGTACGATGTGTTTAGAAAATAACGGGAATTGTTAAATTTCGCGGGTTCGGAGGGTCCGGTTGTCATAACATTTTCTTTATTATGTTGGTATACATGCCCCCGAAGTATGATAAAAACTTTAGCTGTTTTCATTGTTTACTTTATCTGTGGCAGCCGCTAAGGTTAGACGTGTTTTATCAGCTCGGCGATTTTTCGTTCGTTAAAAGAAATGGATCAAAGAATTTGTATCCAATTTTGCTTAAAAAATGAAATAAATTCTGTGAAATGTCAACTATAAGTCTGCTATAAGTAAAACAAGAGTTTACAAGTGGTATAATAGTTTCCAAGATGGCCGTGAAGACGTTGAAGATGACGAACGCCCCGAACGCACAAGCACATTAACAACCGATAAAAACATGGAAGAAGTGGAAGAAATGGTTATAAACCATCAGAGAAGTCGCTGATGATGTTGGTATATCGATTGGCTCATCCCATGAAATTTTTTCGAATGTTTTGGGTATGAAACGCGTGGCAGCAAAATTTGTTCTAAAATTGTTAAATTTTGAACAAAATTTTTGGCCAAAAACAATACTGTAATGATTCCCCAGCCTCCATATTCGTCAGACATGCCTTTGTCTTTTTCCTATTCCCAAAAATAAAGACAACCTTAAAGGGCCGTCGTTTTGCAAGCATATATGACATTAAAAGCGCATCGCTGAAAGAACTAAAGGCTATCCCAAAGATCGAGTTTTAGAAGTGTTTCGAGTATTGGAAGAAGAGCTGGCACATGTGCATAATATCCAATGGGGACTATTTTGAAGGCGACAACATTAATGTAGACGAATAAATAATTTAATGAAAATTCTATTATCATTGTTAAGTGGAAGAGTAACATAAACATATGCATATATCGATTAATTTTTGGTATAAATCACTAGAGGAGTAGTTGTTATGCAAATGATTGGAAATGATGTGTGTAATAATTTCCTTTAAAATTTCAAAGCAACTTTGAAATATTCAAATTAGGAAATTATACCCAATTTAAAAACTGATTACCGATTTCACAAGCTAAAAGGGGCACATTTTTTTAAATTCTAAACGCGAATTTTCGTTAACTGCATATAGGGGATTAAATTTTAGTCTTTACATACTAAAATACGAGGCTTTTAACTTTAAATTTTCTCATGAGCTATATATTTTAATGTTTCTGATATTACCATGTAAGTATTTTTTGTTTAAAAATGTATAATTTATTGGTTTGAAAAACAAAACAATTTTCAGATATTTTTATTTAATAAGAAAAACGATTTTCTAGAAAAATTTCTCTTCCACATATTTTTAAAGAGTTAAATTTTTAATTATTTTTTTCCACCCAAAAAAGTGGAGACTAATTTATAACTTTTGCAGAACACTCCATATTGAATTAAATAAGGAAACATTATTTTTTAAGGCATAATACAAGTTTTAGAGTCTCTATTAAAGTGCAGTAAAAGGTTTAGTTAAAATAGGGGTAATTATTTTTCATTTAAAAATAAGATAATTATTTTTTGTGCAGACATGTTTTTCAATAACAAAATCTTAATGGACTAAAACAATGTAAAAACAATGTTTTATAATTTATTTTAAAATTAAAATACTTGCTTCTGTTTGTTAAACATTAACAAGCAAAATTATTTTCCTAATTATATCTAGGTTGTTTATTTTAGGATAAAAAAAAAATAAAATTTAATTATTTTTCTAAAAGTTAATAAATTTATTCCTATGCAAAAAAGTAAAAAAAATATTTGCTCGTTTTAAAATTATAATATAAATAAAAACATTTTTTTTAATTGAGCAAACAAAACTTAATAATGAGATAATACGATAATAGATTTTAAAAAACCGAGGCAAACATTGACTTAAACGCTTTTTTCTACTCTCACCTTTAAAACGCCCTTTATCGTACATGTTTCCATGAGACTAAGTGACCTTTTAAATACACATTGACAAGTTGTGGCTTTATGGCGCTTTAGTCACGGGCTGAAGTTAGTTTTAAGTTAGTTGACAGTTGTCAAATGTCATACAATCGTTAAAATAAAGTGCCTTTCTTGTAAAATAATACTAAATGTGAAAATTATTTTATCATCTCAATACAAAAATACAAAAGTATTAAAGAGTTTCTCAATATTTGAAAAGTTTATATGAACATTGTACTGACCTTTTAATTTCGCCGGCAGTAAACTATAACTTAAATTTGGGCACGGACTCCACTGTAAAGTGCTCACAAAACATTTTCTTTACTTTCTCTGTGAAAAACTTTAAATTTTCAAGATTATAATCTGTGTTTATAAAATACAAAATTTTGATATTTGACGGTGACACACAGATTCCCCTATTGTTTCATAGATGGCGCTCTATACAAATTTTGGATTTAAATCATTTTAAGATAATAATAAGTATTTGTCGTAGAAAAAGTATAGTATGCACCTCGTTTATAAACTTTTCTATACACTTATTAATTTAAGCACTCGTTTGCAAGCTCGCTCGTGCCTATAGGCAAATTAAATTCGTGTATAAAATGGCGTTTATCAAACTTGATACATAATATAATATTTTAACTCTAGATATATTATCCAGTGCATTCAGGAAAATCTATAGGTGTGCCCAAAAATGTTTTTTAAAAAATACCTAAATTAACTTATACAATACATAAAATATGCTATGGAATTATTCAAATGGCTTAATTTAGTAAGTTACTTATAATACATCCTCTAAAATGATATTCTGAAATTCTCTGTAACTACTAAGCCTTACATAAAATATCAAACAGGTTCCTAAATTATATAGTATATATTATGAAAATGTACTGCATATGGCATCTTTTCACAAAATTGTTTAATTATAAATTTGATTAATTACCGAGGTTTCGCAATGTTTAATTTAGTTTGACAATCTAATTATAATGATTGCCATTAAAATCTAATGTACTTAATTAAATATCTTTGGCAAACAAATGATCGGAAATTTCTAAATATTCCTCCTGGATAACATAGATACTTGTGTTTTCTATTTTCCACACATAGCATTGAAAAGCAGTGTTTTGCAATCTACGTCGTAATTAACTCCTTCTATTCTCTACGAGAAAGTTCAATATTTGCTTTAAGATTCCTAATTAATTGCTAATAATTCCGCCTTTAATATGAAATTAGGCGAGGGAGAAATATTTTATAATGATTTGTGCACTTTATCAGAACCACTTCTTGGTATACCGTATTTTTATTTTTGGGGTATACAGCTGACATATAATCATCATAGCAGCATTATTAAGAATAATAATTCAGTTATTATTCAGTAGGTATAATAAAAGAGTGAAAATCTATAAGAAGGGGTTTCATTTTTTCCTTTAGTTACAGATGATGGGCTGCTATATGAATCAGAAACTATAAAGTTGCTTTTTATCGCATACAAAGGACCTTTTTGCCTAAAAAACATTCTTATATATTCAAATTGACCTACCTACAGTGAAATCAATATCTTTCCCTTAAAAAAATCATAATCAAATAGCATTTGACAAAGCGGATTTAATCTTCAGCTTAATGTACTAAAGTTTGGATAGTGTAATTGTCAAACATCAATTGGAGGGACCTTGTTTAATCTGCCAAACCCTTTAATATATTTCAAAATGTCTTTAAATTGAACCTTAATAATTCACTATCAAAGCCTGACTCTGCTGTCTTCCATATACTGTGGTACAAGCCCAACTTTGTGGGCCTCAATGTCTAAAAAAATTCGCGTATTATCCCCTCCTTGCATGATGTTGTATCGGCAATGTGTGACGTATATGAAGCGCAAATTTTTGGGATTACTATTTCCCTATTATGCGGTCGGGCAATGATTTAGAATTAAAGTTGGAAGGGGTGTGGGCTAAATTTATAGGAAATATTTTAAAATTGATGGTTATTCGATGTTTTGATACTTTTAATGACTGGAAATTAGTTTAAAAACGTTTTATATTTAAATAAGTAATGTATCGAACATTTCAAATTATATTATAATTTTAACATGGGATCAATGCATTATATATTCTGTTTTATTCAAAATTATCTACTAGGTTTGATCAAGAAGGCTAAATAGATAAGTAACTATCAGCCAAAATCACCAAATAGTGTACGCTTGAAAAAAAAATTAATTAAGTATGTACGAACGTTTTTAAAAAATAATCAAAAATGCACGTTTGATTTACTTTATTGACAGTTGCCAAGGGTTACATTTATTAAACATATGCCATAATTAATTATAAAATATCAAACATCGACATGGTAAAATGCAAAATTAAATATGGTATATTAAAAAATTCCAAATTAATTAGGTAAACATGGATTTTATTAAAATCCCTAAGCTTTTATAATGTAAACAGCTTTAGTAGCAAACTTTTAATTAAAATATTTGCTAGTTAATAATTTAATTTAAACTCGTGTTGAGTGTTACATGTATAAATCATTCTGGTGAAGAGATAAATTGCATTTATTGTTTGTGTGTTTTAGTTTTTATTTATTGGATTATACGTGTAGAGAGTCCATTTAATTATTTGGTAATTTAAAGTACATTGGGACTGTTTCAAAGTTTTTTAAGTACTTAAATAATAAAAAAAAATTCTTAGGCAATAAATGGGCAGCCACTGGTTTCAAACCAAAAAGTTCGGCTTGAGTGAATTTTGCAAGAAACCAAAATTAGGATAATTAGTTAATATTTATTTTTTGTTACAGAGGCACTAGTGGGATAGATGTGGACTTACGCCGTGTTGACATTGACCAATGTCCTTTGCCAAAGGATTCAACTCAGCTTAACATTTTTGCAGCATCTGACAAATGTAAGAAGAGAACAACTGAGGTAAGCAAATTAAAAAAAAAAAAAATTTGTCCTGAGACTGTTCAGACCATATTATTTTAATCATATGATAATTTAACAATTTCAGTCCTTAAGACGACTGGTGTCGAACAATCTGTCTTGAAAATTCATCTAATTTCATAATATGATATACATGTAACGGGAGACCGAGTTCTCTTAACGAAATTAATAAGCATGTAAAAACGTTCTTGTCTTGAGCTTGTTTTTGCAAATTTCAAATAGGTCCTTTTTGGAGAGGACACGTTTTATCATTCCGACTGATTAATGGAGTAATTAAAATGATTAATAGATAACACGGCGTCACCGAAATGGGATACTCCATACACCTATCACTACGAATTGATTTATTTTTTTCATGTTAAACCAATATAACTACACTAATAAAATTATTCTTAAAAACTATGCCCCAATCCGTAGTCTTTTCAATATTACAAGATTCAGTATAAATGATTTTTTCTACTCTAACCTTTAACATTTGTCAAATGTCATACAATCTCTAAAATAACTTGATACGAGGTGTGTTCAGAAAATATCGGGAATGTTCGTTTTTTGAAACAAATATTTATTTATTCGTCTACATTAATGTTGTCGCCTTCAAAATAGTCCCCATTGGATATTATGCACATGTGCCAGCTCTTCTTCCAATACTCGAAACACTTCTAAAACTCGATCTTTGGGATAGCCTTTAGTTCTTTCAGCGATGCGCTTTTAATGTCATCTATGCTTGCAAAACGACGGCACTTTAAGGTTCTCTTTATTTTTGGGAATAGGAAAAAGTCAGACAGAGGCATGTCTGGCGAATATGGAGGCTGGGGCATCATTACAATATTGTTTTTGGTCAAAAATGTTGTTCAAAATTTAACAATTTTGGAACAAATTTTGCTGCCACGCGTTTCATACCCAAAACATTTGAAAAAATTTCATGGGATGAGCCAATCGATATACCAACATCATCAGCGACTTCTCTGATGGTTTATAACCATTTCTTCCACTTTTTCCATGTTTTTATCGGTTGTTAATGTGCTTGTGCGTTCGGGGCGTTCGTCATCTTCAACGTCTTCACGGCCATCTTGGAAACTCTTATACCACTTGTAAACTCTTGTTTTACTTATAGCAGACTCACTATAGGCCTTTGTTAACATTTCACAGAATTTTTTTTATTTTTTAAGCAAAATTGGATACAAATTCTTTGATCCATTTCTTTTAACGAACGAAAATCGCCGAGCTCATAAATCACGTCTAACCTTAGCGGCTGCCACAGACAAAGTAAGCAATGAAAACAGCTAAAGTTTTTATTATACTTCGGGGGCATGTATACCAACAAAATAAAGAAAATTTTATGACAACCGGACCCTCCGAACCCGCGAAATTTAACAATTCCCGTTATTTTCTGAACACACCTCGTACTAATAAATATAATGGCTGTTAGTTTATTTGCCAGAATATGGTTTTTCACTGATAAGAGTTGTGAGATTGACTGTTCACGGCCAAGGACAATGAAAAGACTTAAGCCCAGGATATTGTCTTTGCTGGAACAATTAATTTAATTGTCAGACTCAGTGCTGGTAATCATTTTTCAAACAGACTTTGTTCATCGGTTCAATACAATGGACAAATTATTAATAAGTCAATTTGTCGTGTTTTTAATATTAAAAATATTTATTAATTATGAAGGAAAACTAAAATATAAACAAACGTCGAAAAGTTTAAACAGCTATATATATTCGCTTAACTAAATAAAAATCACTTATCTTTTGATGAAGTTCCATGAAACGTAATTAAATAACCTTCAGTTTAAAAAACTAATTTAGGTTTGCACAAAAGCTTAAATGAAAACGGCAATTTTTAATATGGTCCAATTAATTTTAAACAATATGGCAATAAAAAACTCTAATTACAGAGTTTATAAGCTGGTTTTAATGAAAAGGAAATATTTTGTGCGCTGAATAATTTTTTAGAAATTATAAGAGAGTCAGAAGGCTTTCTCATTCAATTAAATGCAAAAATAATATTTTTTCATTATATCTCACCAAAAATATTAATACAAAAATAGTATATTAAAGAACTAATGTCATTAGACGTCATTTTAATTTAATTTAATCACAGTTAATGTCAAAATCGATTTGCCATGCCGTCCTTAATTTACTTATTTACGATAAGCGGCTGTTAATGTTAAAGAAGAAAAAAAGGATTTTCTTTGGTGTTAAACATTATGGCCAGAAAAGTCTTGTAAGTACTAGAAAAATCATAAAAATATTATAACCAATATGCAAAGTATTATGCTGTTTAAAGTATAGCCAACCTAAAAAATCAAAATTTTGGGTTTTTCCTGTAAGATTAGTACAGTCACGTGCATTGGATCAGTACCACGTTGCTACTGAGCTATTGCTCCCAACTGTACATATAATTTTTACGTGGTGTTAATCAAATGGGCTATGAATTGCTTTCCCGTCCACCGCATTCCCCAGACTTAGCCTACAGCGACTTAGCCTACAACGACTATTGTCTGTTTCCAAAGAGTGGAAGAGATTAAGGAAAAGGTAATAATGGAAGATAAAGCATCTTAAATATTGGTAAAAGTAAGGAAAAAAAGCAATACATTTTTCAAAAATAAAACTATTGTGCGAAAAAATATTAAAAATTTAATTTGTCGAACCGTCGCGACGGTTGTGGTAAGTAGAAGCGAAATAGATTTGGTCATTTTGGGATCATTGGAATTCAGGCAGTGTGGATCGGTTTTTTCGCTGGTAAACCAATTGAAGTTTATAAATTTTTAAAACGGTTAAATCTGCCGGCCCTACGGAATATAAACACGCTTAAAAATTGAAATTAAATAATAAATTATTTGGAAAACCAATAGCGGTAAAAAAATATAAAACAGTTTTCACATATGAAATGAGTGTTAGTATTCTTTCCTCAAACTGCAAGAAAATTAAATTTTTTATACAGAAAATAAAAATCTTTTTATAGGTAATAAAATGTTTCTTTTCAGTACAATTTATTTATATACTGTTATATAAAAAATACGTGATAAAATTATATTATTAATTTTCTTACTTTGTGGTTAAATTTTTAATGTGTTTGATGTCTTTTTACGCAGTGTGTACCGTTGTCTGGATTGGGATTTAGACGCGGTAGTTACAGATGTGTATGCAGACGTGGATTTTATTTTCCCGAGACAACGGCAGAGAGAAGGTATTACAATGGAACTGTTATCGAAGAAGAGTATGAAAAACTTATGCTGGTGAGTAATATTACATCGAGAAATTAATAACTCATCAAGTTCCCAGGTAGCACACTGACGTGTGCTGACGTTTATATGACGTTTAAATGACGTCATTTCAACGTCATATAAACGTCAGCAGACGTCATTGTGCTACCTGGGTTGCTGCACATTAATTCTAAATGACTTTTAAACTTACTAAGTAAAAAATTCACATTCGTTAATGGGATGGAAGTACTTTTTTATAGAAAGACACATATTGCATATATTATTATATATATTAGCATTTTGTCATAATTTCATATCATTATATCGATAACATACTTTATGGTCACCTGTTGCACAATATTAAATACCATGAATGAAATTGATTTTGTTTTAATAAAAAAACAGCATGTTCTAGTAAAATCAATACTTTTAATGTTTTCGAGGATTTACGATTTCTTCGTAAAATACAAATAAAAACCCTCGTTAAAACAACATCATAAATTTTGCACTCAAAAGCTAGAAAAAAAAGTAAAAGCCACTTGATATATTGTCAAAGTCGATGTTTACATTGGCCGAGAAAAATTTTCTCTCTTTAGGCAAAAGCTAAATAATTCTTGTCGGTAATTTCTCGAAAATTTATTCTTTTTAATCACCTTAAATTTTAACAAGGCAGGGATTTTTTCCTCCGCGCTCGACTAAACAAATCAAAATTAAACGAACTGTTAAGAGTGGCAATAAATATTTTTGAATGCCTTGCGAAATTTTAAATTTAGGACCTTTTAATTACAACCCTTAAAAAAGAAAGGTAATTTTCATTATTTTTTACCGTGAAAATAAAATAGTGTTATGTATAAACGTATTTAAATAATATCAAGCAGTTTAACCTTACTTTTTCCAATATTAAGATCAAGGAATTACATATTCCTTGCAGGTGTTGGAAATTAGATCAAGATGTTAAACTAAATAAACCCAAAAAACAAAGACAAAAAAACTGAAATAATGAGAAAAGATAAAATTTAAATATATCATCGTGTAGAGACTGATTTTGTTTTCGAATAGTAAGCTAAAAAAAAACCGCACACATACCCACTTATTATGTATTATTCAACAGGGCGAAAATAACCAGTACGGGAAAGAGGGAATATTCGAATGTCTGCCATGTCCTGAAGGATGCGAATTCTGCGAGGACGATCGTCCTTGCGTCGTATCGCTCAACTGGGTCATGAGGACGGTCATCCTGGTCCTCTCTTGCGTTATTATTTGCTGTCTACCCATAGTTGTCGTATTCACGTGGAAATACGGGAACGTTAAGGTAAGGTGCTTAAATATTATGGCCCTTCTAGTGTAAAGATAAAGGAAAAATGTCGAATTTATAAATATAAACTAAAGTGGGCCAATATGATGACAATGCTTGTTTGGAGAACACCTGAAGATGACTTACACTGCTTTTTGGACGAAAACAAATTCATTTTAAAAATTTTAAAAAATTTTTAAAAAGCTGTTATTAATTTTAATAACCATCCCAAGCAGCACACGAACATCCAATGGACATCCATAGGACGTCCTATGGACGTCCCAATGTCAAAGAAATGGCCCACTTTTAAGTTCAACCATATGAATTAATTTTATTGAGAACAGTAGAACTTTTCTGGGCATTTTTGTCGTTAATTTCAGGTCCATGGACCTCTGGACATGATATGGACGTCCATAAGACGTCATATAGATGTCAAATAAATGTACCAAAATGCCGAATAAGGTCTAAATGAACATCGACAGTTTATTTTGAGTTAAAAAAACGTCATCCGACTGCCAATTTTTAAGTTCAACCATATGAATCAATTTTATTGAGAACAGTAGATTATTATAATTTAAAAAAACTTTTTTGGGCATTTTTGTCGTCCATTTCAGGTCCATGGGCCTCCGGACATGATATGGATGTTAAATGGACGTCTATAAGACGTCATATGGACATCCGTAGGTCCTATGGACGTCCCAATGTCAAATAAATGGACCAATAATTTAGACATCCAAAAGAACGCCGAATAAGGTGTAAATGAACATAGACAGTTTATTTTGAGTTAAAAAAACGTCATCCGACTGCCGATTTTTAAGTTCAACCATATGAATCAATTTTATTGAGAACAGTAGATTATTATAATTTAAAAAAACTTTTTTGGGCATTTTGTCGTCCATTTCAGGTCCATGGGCCTCCGGACATGATATGGATGTTAAATGGACGTCTATAAGACGTCATATGGACATCCGTAGGTCCTATGGACGTCCCAATGTCAAATAAATGGACCAAAATCAGACATCCAAAAGAACGGCGAATAAGGTCTAAATGAACATCGACAGTTTATTTTGAGTTAAATAAACGTCATCCGACTGCAGATTTTTAAGTTCAACCATATGAAACAATTTTATTGAGAACAGTAGATTATTATAATTAAAAAAAAACTTTTTGAGGCATTTTTCTCGTCCATTTCAAGTCGATGGGCCTCCGGACATGATATGGACGTTAAATGAACGTCCATTGGACGTTATGTGCTGTTTGGGATGTGATAAATATAAATAGGTATAAATCATTGGTATCATTGTCTAAAATATTTTGCAATAAAATTAATAAATTGGTTAGTATTTGCTATAAAATAAATCAGTTTAAATTAAAATGGCAAATTGGATATTTTTATGATTATTTATACTCCACATAAATATTGATTTATTGTATTACCGTCATTTTTTATTATTATTTATTTTTTAAATAACAATAACTCTGCCTAGTTTACCTTATTAGTTTTATTATGACAAAGTAAAATTTATTTGTTAATTCTATTGAATACAATTTTTCAGATAAAATCCGTTTTATCCGGCTTAGTTTTTAAATCCTTATAATCTGTTTGATATTTTATAAGAATAAAAAAAGAAAAATGTGATTGTAAAAATAAATATTTGCGTCCATATGAAAAATAATCTCTTGGATGCCAAAACCATAATCTTATAAAATGATCATTTGGATAATGTCAAAAATTTAATATTATTTTTATTATAATTGGGTTGCAAACACTCTCTACAAGTGAACCTCAAATTTGAGGGAATACATGGCGATCCAAGAGTCAGTCCTATGATGCCGCGTGTTTTACATTAAAATTGACGTTGTTACGCAATTAAAATTTTCCAGCCTCGCGGAAAATTAAAGGAAATTTTTGTTTTTATCGGTGGAAAAAGGCAAGTTTACTGAAGAAAGGCACGTTTTCTTAATTATTCCACTGTTGTGGATTTATTGTGATTTATTAGTAAAATAGGAAACCGGAAGAACTTTAAAATAAATAAAATGACTAAATAACAAGTTATATTAATTAAGCTTAATATTTGTTTTCTTACATAAATAATATTTAATATTATAATTAGTTATAATTATAATAATTAGTTGTATACAGGGTGTCACCCAATAATTGAAATTTTCTCGATTACTTGATTTTAAAAATAAAAAAGTTTATAGATCTTTATGTGTAAACATCTGAAGGCTACTATCCGTAATGTTGTCAATTACGTTTATTCCAAATGAGTTGCTATAATATACTTTTAATAACGGATGACAGTTTGATCTAATAAATGATCCATTTTCTTAATTTCACTGTTTAAACGCAAAAACAATCTCATCTCAATTAATAATAAATTCATTATCCTGACAGATTACTCCTCTCTGGTCATCATCTCTCTACTATTTTTTTTTCGCGAGTAAAAGGCTAAAAACTCTTCCCCACATCAAAGTTTTACTTGAAGCATATTCATAAACTTTAACTGATGATTTCTCGAAGAAGAAAGGAATTTTGGTGAAGACTCAGTTTTTCGGAGAAGAAATACTAGATTCTGTCCGGCGAATGTTTTACCTTGCATCATCAATCAAAAATAGAATAGAATGGAATCGCTGAATGTGTTTGGTTAAGAAATTGATGACGCAAGGTAAAACATTAGCCAAACAGACTCTAACTGCTATAAAATATTATAGGCCCTATAATATAGGGTATCCGCAATCATCCTTTACGTGTTTCTAATAATAATAATGTTTTGTTACATAATGCAATTTAGTTAACGTTGTGGATTAATTTAAGGAATTTTTCTTATTTTTTCAGGTTGTTCGTGCGGCCAGTCCTGTGTTGTTGCGTGTGATTGCTTTAGGAGCATTTTTTATATATTGTACGGTAAGTATTGCTTATACTTTTAAATTAACCTTCATAATATATTTATATTACGAAATTTCTGAAATTCTTGAAAAATGTTTCGTTTAAATTCATATTACGATTTATAAAATAATAAAATTTATTGTGTAATTGACTTGATTCAGATTGCTTACTTTCTTGTTTTATTAAATACATTGTGATAGGAAAAGGTGGACAAACAGGGACTCTACAGAGAATACAAGACAAGACTAGACAGATAAGAAAAGGCTTTATGTAGACTATACAATGTCCCAGGTAGCACACTGACGTCTGCTGACGTTTAAATGACGTTGAAATGACGTCATTTAAACGTCAGCAGACGTCAGTATGCTACCTGGGGTATAGTATACATACTGGAACATACTTTTGTAATGATTAATTATTTTAAATTTCAGACAATAGACTTGATTCAGATTGCTTACTTACTTGTTTTATTAAATACATTGTGATAGAAAAAGGTGGACAAACAGGACTCTACAAGACTAGACAGATAAGAAAAGGCTTTATGTAGACTATACAATGTCCCAGGTAGCACACTGACGTTTAAATGACGTCGAAATGACGTCATTTAAACGTTAGCAGACGTCAGTATGCTACCTGGGGTATAGTATACATACTGGAACATACTTTTGTAATGATTAATTATTTTAAATTTCAGACAATAGTAATGTATCCTAGACCAAGTGTCTATACTTGCACTGCTAGAGTTTGGCTGCGAGAAATCGGTTTCTCCCTTACTTATGGAGCGTTAATGTTGAAGACTTGGAGGTAAAACAAAAACAAACATAAATAAAACACATATTAGTTGTTTTTTTTTTGTTGTTGCAGGATTTCAGTTATATTCAGGGTTCGCTCGGCCAAGGCGGTAAAAATAACCGATGTTAACTTGCTTAAACGTCTTGGTATGATTGTTGCCATATTTACGGTTTTCTTGGTGATAAGAACGCTCGTGGCGCCCCCTGTGGTCATTGTTGGCAGAACTGCCGATGACCTGAAGGCCTATTTGTGCAGGACCGACTGGTGGGATCATTCTTTCAGCACATGTAAGTGGATTCAGTTTAGTTCTTGTGTTTTTACTTGTTGATTACATGAAAAAAATATCCACAGTATTCTAGTGACATTCAGAATTTAAACTCAACACAAATTTTGAATAATTTCACTTAAATGCTGCGTGGTACACCTTGTATAGCTTATCAATATGATGCATATGTCATTTTTTTAGTGGAAGTGGTATTTCTGGTTTGGGGCATTAGATTATGCATTGTAGTACGAAAAGCACCTTCTGAGTTCAACGAAAGCCGATTTATTTCCATGGCGATTTATAATGAATTTTTGCTGTCGGTCTTTCTCAATATTTCAATGTGAGTATATCCTACATTTTTATTTATTCACAGATATAATATTTTTAACGGGCATTAAAATATATGTTTTTCTTATTTTTAAGGCTCTTTTTGCAAAAACCTGCCAACCCAGATCTTCTCTACATTATTTTCTTCTGCCACACTCAGTTGACCGTCACCCTTCTACTATGCCTTATATTTGGCAGCAAGGTAATTATTTATTGTTTATTATGCTTAAGTACTGTTTATTGACAATTTTAATTATTCAAGTGTAGCCGTGTAAAATGAAAATGTTCATAACGACATAGCGGATGTAGCCAGAAAGGATATTAACTAAGAAGTGTTCATCGTATAAAAATTCCGAATGAATTCGTTCGTAGTTCTTTGTAGCGGGTCATAAACGAATTTTGCAGTTTCGAACCGAAAAAATTCACTATCAACTTTACCGTTTTAATTTTAAACGTCGCACAATGAGAAAACATACTCATAATAAGGACCTCCTGATCTTTCGAATTATTTCCATGGTGGTTGAATTTGTACCTGCCTGATTTTCATTCTGTACTGACGTCTGCTGTTTCAGTACAAACCAAACAACAAACATAACACCAGCGCCCTCTAATTTTGAGAACCATTAGAATAAATTGAGTTCGTAGTTTTTGTGTAGGCTCCATATTCCCCTTTGATATAAAACAACAGAAATTATTTTATCTGGCGTTACTATTCAAGCTGGCCGAAATGTAAGAAAACCCTACTTTTGTTGCATCACTGTGCAATTAACTGATTTGTTACACGATGTTTTATTTTTCGGAGTGCATTTTTCATTAGGGGCACGATTGTGATGCACAAGTGCAATAAATTTTCGATCCTCTCGGTCTTCCTGTCTATGCGTCCGATCGGGCAAAAAACTTGCCAACGAATTCATTAATTAAACAAATTTATTACTGACAACTTTACTGTCAGATTTATTTCAGCATCACTTTTTGACATTACTACAGTTTTTGATTGGGTAATTAATATTATTTAAACATGAGGAACAATAAGAAACAAAACCTTTTACTGAAGAATTTGTAAGCATTCTTGAAAAAGGACAACTTTGGTGATGTGTTAAACAAATATTAGAAATATTCCCCAACACCAAAACAAAACACCAAGTGCTTAAAGTACTTTTCGCCAACGATGTTGGTATCTTCAGATTTGAAGTGTTGGCTTCCAAGCCTCTGACCTAGCTTCAGCCAGATTTTTAAGACCAAGCTTTGGTCTATTTTACCACCCAGCATTTGTTTAGGCCTCAATATATTGTCCTGGTCCAAAGGCCTATTACCAGTCTTGGCCCAATACTACTATGCCAGGCTTGTCACTTATGCATTAGGATTGGGATGGCATTAAAATGTACTTTTTGCTTTCCAGGCTTTCTTGGTGTTCAAAAACCACGACTCTAGCGATGAGAGCTCCGGAATGATGTCCAAAACTCCAACATCAAAGTTCATCAAAGCTCGCTCCGGTAATTCTCAATATACGAGCACCAACTCATCCACTGGAGGTCTGGACTACTCCAAGTACACCGAGCAGGACGTGCAAGAGGAGTTTTTGCGTTTGTACACGCAATTGGAGGTTCTCAAAGAGAAAAACATGAGGACGGGGAACAGACACTTGGCCTCGAAAATTACAGCAATGCAGGATGCCGCCAGGAGCCACGATCAACCTCAGGAAAACAAGTTAAAGGTCGTTAACAACGCATTGAAGACAGTTCCTGAGCTAACTGACACCGATGTTATCCTTGAGGAACCTCCGCAACCCAAGGTCAAACGTCAGAGCGTCTCTTTCGCTGCAGAACAAGTCAGCGAGCCGGGTAGCAGTATTAACAAGGAAAAGGTTGTGGAAGAAAATCCTAGTGGTAGCAAGGAGACCTTCATAGAGTTGAAGAGTAAAGAGGAGAGTCCGGTGGCTGATCGTAATGGTAAATATTTAAAGTCTGGACATGCTCGGACACATGCTATAGTCATTAATTTAGATGATAAGAGCAGGTTTACTGAGGAGGTTACTGTGTAAAGGTTCGTAAAACTGTACTTTTTGTATTCCCTTGGTTCTTTCAACATTAAACCAATCCACAAACCAGATTGGTTTACCAATTACTATCCCACAGGAACCGTTTTTTGGGCTAAACAGTAGTCTACGTCACTTTCCAGCCTATAAACCATCTCTAGCAAAGATTCACATACGTCTGAAAGAAGAGCAAATAAACTTTTGGTATAGTACATTGTAATTGTTCATTTATTGGGGATTTATCAAAGGGAAAAACAACTGTTGTTAAAATGTCTGCAGCCAACCTGATGTAGTACAAGGTTTATATTTAGGTTACGAGAGCCCAGTAACTAAGTATGAACCTATTTTTGAGGTTTTGAGGCTCAATACTATTAGATTCGTTTGTTTCTATTAATTAATATCAATAACTAGTGGTAAGTTAATCTGTGATATTTTTGAAAATTTAGATAGATCAGTTTAGTTAATTAATTATTATTAGGTTTAAATTTTATTCCGAAATTACCTTCAATGGTAATTTTGCTGGTGAAAAGTTTTAAAATTTGTAATATAAGTAAATCATATAATAGATTGTAACTAAAATAATTTGTTATTTACCTATTGATTGGGTAATGAACTATTTGAGGTAATAATGTATTGCATTTATTAAATTTTACCACATTTAGGTTATAAGACTTTATTTTGACATTGGAAATGTCTTATTGCCCTGGGTAATTTACCCATATATCTATACTCCTGTATTGCCAGCGCTCTTTCTATAGTACTTGGATGCGCATGTCCGAAAATTGAATTGCAATGTTCTGATTCGTTCAATTTAATTCTTAGACATGTGCATAAGACTTCAAGGACGATAAAAAGAGACAGACGCATATATAGCCCGTTCAGAGTAAAACCGAATATAGGGAAACGTATCGGGCGTGGCCTATTATCATTTAATTTTTGAGGTCGTCTTACCTGCTCGACCTTTCGTCATGTCGTTTATCACACAAGCTACTGTGACGCGCGTTGGAGGGAGGCGAGGCCACGCCCGATACGTTTCCCTATATTCGGTTTTACTCTGAACGGGCTGTATGTCTGCACTGTAGCGTTTTAGACTTTCTCGCCTATTTGACTAGCAATATAGGAGTAATGGATATATGTTTGGACCACACATTTAGATAACTATATCGCGTTTGGACCTTTGCGCATTCTACTGCGCCTTGTATTAAATAAGAACTTTAAAGTTTTGAATCGTTAAGATTTTATTGGTTTATATGTTATACCTACTTTTGTTTATATGATTTTAAACATTGTTTAAAGGCAAATAATCGAAGAAAACTATATTAAAAGATAACGAAACACTCATCTGTCAACAATGTCTTTAAGAATAATATATATTTGTAAATATAATGTTTTAAATCTGAAGAATAATACTTGCTATTAATTAGTGTAAACAACATATCCCTCTATCACTTACAACTTATCATGTTTTGTACCTATGTCTTTCTTTAAAAATTATGAATGTTAAAACAAAAAAAGACCTGTATATAAACATTACATGTATCATAAGGGTATAAGATAATATAACTATAGGCTTGTTCCTACCGAGCAATTGGACTGTCAAATGGACGTGAGGGACATGCGCAATAAGTAAAAATATTTGTGTAGCGCATGTCTATTTGACAGTCCGATTGTTCGGTAGGAATGAACCTAGTAATTAATAATAAATAAGAGATTATATGTACTGAGGATTATTACACAACAATTTTTGTGTAAAGAGTAAATAAATGTAAAGATGTGATTGCTGTGTAATTTTCTGTTAAAAAAATCAATAAAAATGTCAGAAAAATCTGTTTTTATTTAACACCCAGCCTCCTTAGCCTGAGTAACAAATATTGTTCTCCCTGATAATCCAAGAAAATTTTAAAAAGAAGAATTTTACCGGGAAAAGGAATAAGTTTTAATTTTTGCCGCATGGGGTCGCTTTACTTTTTACTGCCATTTTGTGGATCCGAATTATAGAAAACTTTAGGTAAATAGAAAAATAGTATTCTTTAATTCTAGCTTACGCTATAGATCTTTAATAACTACAAAATGTTACTAAACATTTTATTAAGTATTTAAAATATTCCATTATTAAATCTAAAATATCATCATTTTGTGTTTTTATTATTGTTAAATGCTTTTTTTCATACAATTTTTTCATATAAATTATATGCGCCTTAATGCCCACTACCGTGTGAGAACATTTCCCCTACTTTAACCCCACGAAATGGAAATAGTCTCAGTTATAAATGATTTGTATATGTGTGGAAGTATTTGTAATTTAGTACCGCATACGCCATCTCTACGCGAACGGCAAAAGTAAAAAACTTTTTACACGACCTTTCGTTTTTAGCTAATAGCATATACTTACCACACATATACCGCTTATTGCCTATATTTTGAATAGATGACCTTGTTCCCGTTTTTAAGGGGAGGGTGGCTACTCTCTACCTTTTGCGCACGGTCAGTTCAAAAGTGGGAGATTAAAAAATCAATAATGTTTGTTGGTTATGAATAAATCCAAATGTCAGTTTAAGAATTTAGGTTATATTAAAAAAATATTACAAAACTAGTTTTAAAATGCGAACTGTTTTGCTGTAAACAATAAACCAAAAATGGTTTGTACTGTGACCAAAATGTTCGATTATAATCTCCTTGGCAATTAGTCCTTGGGTAATAAAATAAGACGTAGCCAAATTTCTAATGCTAAAAACATTTTTATAAAATTGAAAAAATAATACTTCTTTTTATTATTAATACTTAAAAACATAATTTATTAATTATTTATAAATTATGCAATATAAAATATTTTTATAAGCTTTATAATAACGAAAATAATATTAGAATATAATTACATCTGACAACACGGCCCCACGCATGTGTAAAACTGCATAAGTAGCTAGCTCCTACTTTAACCCCACGAAAAGGAAACAGCCTGAATCCAAAATGATCTGTATATGTGTGGTAAGTATATGGCTAATAGTACCGCATACGCCATCTCTACGCGAACGAAAAAAGTAAAAACCGTTTTACACGACCTTTCGTTTTTAGCTAATAGATGGCTAATGGAAATATCCATTAAATTTACTGTAGAATTTTTAGATGGTAAATAAAGTATATTCTAGATGGAACTATATATAATATTATTAATTTAAAATTAAATAAGTCTTCTATAAAACGTACTATAATTTATTAATATAATGTCTTATTGCTGCTAAACAATGCAAAAAAGTGTGTGGCTAAAATTTTCTAACGACAAAAACATAATGGTGTTGATAAAAAAGCCTATAAATTCATATTGCAAAGGCAAATTATAAATCATTATGTCGGCAATATCGCAAGAGGAAATAATGCAGAAACAATGTTACACTGGATATCAATTGACAGCTCATTAATAATCCAACAATGTGCGCAATCTTTAAATTAAATCCTTATATGAAGTGCATCACGCACCCTACTCACAACAATCATCACACACTACATTGTCCATGTACCCAGTCTAATTAAAAGTGAAAACTAAATTTTAACTATCCTTTAAAACAAATATAATACAATATGCAAATTATAATTGATAATTATCAACCAAACTTAAAAAAAATAAAACAAAATATATTGATAAACGCCATTTTAGACACGAATGTGTGTAAAGTTTATAAACGAGGTGCATACTATACTTTTTCTACGACAAATACCTATTATTATCTTAAAATGATTTAAATAAAAAATTTGTATAGAGCTCCATCTATGAAACAATAGGGGAATCTGTGTCACCGTCAAATGCCAAATTTTTATATTTTATAAAGGTTATAAATCGAAATGTATTTCTTGAAAATTGACAGTTTTTTCAGTGAAAGTAAAGAAAATGTTTTATGAGCACTTTACAGTGGAGTCCGTGCCCGAATTTAAGTTATAGTGACTAAAGAGCAATAAAGCCACAACTTGTCAATGTGTATTTAAAAGGTCACTTAGTGTCATGGACATGTGCGATAAAGGGCGTTTAAAAGGTGGGAGTAGAAAAACAATATTAAAAACTATTTTTTTATAAACATCCAGAATTACATTAAAAAACAATTAAAATAAAAAAAATAAACCTATAATAATTATTTATTTACTTAGTTGTTTTGGCTCAAGATGTTCCCTAATTAATAATTAATTTAATGGAAAAAGGTACAAAGCAAAAGTTCACAATTTTCCTACTTAAAGAACTAAAAATTTGTTATTTACATTCCTTTAATAAATTAATAAATAACTATGCAAATTTTGTTGCTTATAAGAAATTAATTCAAAAAACAAATTTCATTTAGCGAAAAATGTGAAAACAAAAATGATCACGAGAGACCGGACTTTTAGGCACTTAAAATTGAAAAAAGAAATATGCATCCAAAAAGGCTAAATAGGTAAGAAAAAGGCAAGGTACAAATTGTCGACAAAATATTAATTAATAAAAATATGTTTTAATAGGAAAAAGGACGCCCTGCCATGTCAAACAAATTTTGCACATTTTTAACGGTCTCTCAATTCAATGATTTCATTTTGATAAGAAAATACTGCCTTTTAAAATTAGGGGAACTTTTAAGTAACTAATAAAAAAATGTTGATTTTCAAACAAATCTATCAGGTTAATATAGCAAAAAATAATAAATAAAATTTATTTAATAAATACAAACATCCGTAAAGGCACTATTCAATAAATTCCAATATATTTTTTGTCGTACAGTGCATTTTCTTAAAGAATAGGTGAACTCTATTGATTAAATATATTTCAAATATGATATATTCAAACTTTTTATACAGTAAGGCGTTTTAAATTTGGTAAATGGGTATTTATTTTAATAATATAATAATAATTAAAAAAATGCAAAATGAAGAATATGAAATTTATACAATAATATGGTTTATCAAGTACATGTATAACGATAACATAAATAAATATAATAAAAAAATGAATACAGGGCCGCTACAATCTATATTTTTTTTTTGAAATTACCCTGAAAATGGTCGCCTATAGTATTTTAAATATGTTGAAAAATCGAAGTCACTGGATTATATAAGTTTCACCCATTAAATATTAATTATATTTATGTAAAATATTAATGAATAACCAAAAATAATTAGCAAAAAATACGGTAAATATGAAAAACTATTGTTGTAAGAATTATCCATATCAACGAGTCGCCCATGCTCTGTCTTTGTCAGCACAATTAACTTATCAATAAACAAATAATAAAAATGTGGCAAGTTTTCTAAAGTAAGGTCATTTTTGTGTATGTGTGTGTGCGTTCAAGATCGAAAAATCGGCGCATATTTTAAAATGCTGATCAAATGATAAAGCGATAGAAATGCTAATTTTTTTGTGTATTGATAGTACAGGTTATACTTAACATAATCAAATGACGCTTGGATAAAATTAGATAAATCCTGATTAAAGATTCTTTTTGGTTCGTGCACAGTGTTCATTTGAGTTTTGACCGAGATGAACCTCATTGATGTCCCCCCTGATGGGGGTTGGGGATGGATGGTAGTCCTAGGAGCGGCCCTGATAAACGTAAGTAGTCCTATGATTATAATTACTTACACTTTATATGTCAGAACAAATTTCGAGTGTAAAATATTTATTAAATAAAATTGTTCTGTTTTGTATTACTATTAAGTTTATTTCCATTTGACTATTATTTTATAATTACTTTGTCAGGGCTATCATTAATAGGGGGTCATTAAATGTTTAATTTTATTCAATTATTGCATTATTTAATTTAAGTTGAACAATTTTAAATTTAATCATTGATATTAGTCATTTGCGTACCTATGCCTACTAATTATTCCAAAAATTGTATATGTAATGGACTTCAATAATTTTTTTAATATAACTGTATATAAACGATTTTATATTTTATTTTGCAAGCTCCTCAACACAAAAAATAACCATATATTTTTCAATTTAAGCATAGATATTTTATAAAATTAATTTTACAAGTGAAATATTTTATTTTTAAAGTATGTATAATTTAACATTTAAATTCTGTGACCTTTTAAATATTAAAATTTTTTTATTGTTGTTAATAAATTATAAAGTTAAACTTCCCCTATTGACTATGGTCAGGGTTTAAAAATAAATTTTATTCCAAGATCGAGAATTAAAAATTATGACGAGGTAATGTATATCTTAAATCACGATAAAATTTTAGACTATAAAAAAAATAACCCTTTTAAATAATGAGATGAGATGAATTTTTTTTTAACTCCATACAAAATTTATAAAATATATAATACAGTTAGTTATTCAAATCGTATTTCTAATAGTATTGGACAGGGAACATTTATATTGTAATTTATTATTCCATTTTAAATGAAAAGCCCTTTAACTGTCATTAACTTTTAATTATTTATGCATAGATTATTATACATCATCATTTTTTGTATTATGGTTTAAACATTATTTGATGCCTAATCAGCAAAAATCTAAATCTTGTATTTTTTCCCCAATACCCGTTTGAGTACCTAAAGTCTATTCCAATCCAAGCTGGACACACAATCACAATCCTCCGAATCGACCAATAAGAGCTCACAATCCGAGTCACACCATCAGAATCGACCAATAGAAACGAGTTATCACGCGTCTGGGCGTTTTTGTTTAGTCCAGCTTGGATTTGAATAGACTTTAGTAGATTTCCAACCGAGATTGACTATCAGTATTTGTCATATTTTCTTTGGTCCCTTTTAAGTCTACCTTTCTGATTGATTGATTTTTTTCTTTAAACTATTTGTAGACTTTGTTGTACCGCAATTAACATTTAAGTGTTTTATCCAAAAATAAATTTTATTCTAGTGTTTTATAAATTATCATAACACTTATGTCTTCAATATAAAAATTTAATTTGTCGCCTTTTAAATAGGCTTCATGGAAAGCAATAGACTTTAGTAGGCATTGGAATATCTTTTCAGTCACAATTAAGAAAAAGTACATACCCACTGACATATAGGTATACTGCAGAAATAATTACTTATTGGCTTTTCTGGTTATTTATTTATTTATTCAATTTATACTTTTCGAGGTTGACTGATATTGTTAAGCTAACAACATAGTTCAATTGCATTATTGTCCTTACAAAATTACAAATTTTAAGAGGTTTAAAGAAAATGAAATGATTTAAAGAACTCGTAAATAAAATGTTTATAAATAGAATAGAATAAACAGAAAATTTTAATGATTTCAGTAAACATTGACAATATCTTTATTATATTGTTTATCGCATATTTTTTGCACACATGAACACGCTTGATGATGTTAATTTGTATTGCTATGTTTAGAAATTTAATTTGTCATACTTTTCTCATCACTAACTTTTTTATTTGCCTTTATCTTTATTGAAATACAGATAAGGCCAAATATACACTAAAAATTTCCATTCAGGTAACTAGATAAGGGCCAAAGTAAACTTTAAAGTGATATAATGTGAATAACTTTTTAAAAGGCGTCCAGTTTGTTTATTACGCTTTGTTTCAAGTATTTAACTATTTAGTAGGGTATTGTATGCCGATATTGTTAATAATTTATTCATATTTATGCAATGTTTTAAATCAAATAATTTCTCATAAATTAACCAGTTTTAATCTAATATTACACAATCTACAATGTAAACACACAAAGGGTCTTAAAACGTTCATTAATACTTTTTATTTTTAGATGGTCAATCAAGCGCTTTTTTCCATATTCGGATTAATTTACGGGGAAAAACTGGAAGAAATGGCAAATGGAAAGGCCACGGGAATTACATTGGTAATGGCCATCAATGTGATGGTCACAAACTTTTCCGGACTCGCCGTGGCGGCCATTTTGAGAAGGATCAGCATACAGTGGGTAACATTAATAGGCGTTTTTTGCGTCGGCACGGGAATGATTTTATCAGGATTTGCCACGGAAATAGTGCACATCGTACTGGCTTACGGCTGTTTGACAGGTAATTTGCATGTCGGTTACGAGGTTATGTTGTCACATACAATGTTTCGTCTTTTTAGGATTGGGCTTGGGATTGCTGGCATCGTCAACATTCTTAGTGATATCGCAATATTTTACATCAAGAAAAAGTACAGCAGTGGGCCTGGCAATGTCTGGGACTAGCATAGGTCAAATGTTGATGCCGATGTTGGTCGGTTTTTTGCTAAATAATTACGAATACTCTGGAACCACAATTATAATGGGAACACTAAGTTATACAGGCATTTTAGGGGCAATGTTTTTTAAGGTATTCCTACAAATAACTTACATATGTCAATGAGTAATACGTTCTTTTGTAGCCATTTTTGTGCTTTAATAAGAGTGTATTAACTGAGGAAAAAAATAACGAACAAAAACCGTTACAAAATGGTGTTAAGTCTGATAACAGTACCAAAGTCTATGAAGTAAATGAAAACATTAAGGCTTACATTCAAGAAAATACAGATGATATTAAATATCCTGAGGATATTAAGAACAATAATATAACAACATCTACAAATAGTTTAAAGAAGGCAGAATCATTAAAAGAGACGATACAGGAAGAAAATCAATCCATCAGGAAGGTAGAATCAAAGGATACCATAGATACAGATAATCAATCAATTAAAAGAGAAGAAAATATAACAAATACCTATAGTCAATCTAATCTATCCATTAGTTCAGGATCAGATGAAGAAATACAGAACATAATAATGAACAATGAAGATGTGATTTCTCTAGATGAGGATACTTCAGGATATAATGATGAAGTAACAGAAATATCAGAAAAGGCCAAAACACCAGAGGGTACAAAGTGGGAAGATGTCGAGGTTAGAAAAAGCGTCACACAATTAAGACCACCTAGTACCAATCCATTTGGCTCAGATAGTGAAGAGGAAGAAGCTTTACCCAAAAATAAAACACAATACTCCAGACCACCAAGTACTAACCCATTTGAATCACAAGAAAGTCTATATGAGAGTGACAACGAGCAACTACAAGCGGAAAAGAGCAAACTACTTAATGATATTATGAATTTAAATAAAAGTTTTAGCGATGCAAGTACAGTTAGTAAAAGTAAAAACCCTTTTGGTTCAGTTGGAGATCTACTAGGTACACAAACTGGTGTTGTGCCAAGAAAATTCGGCTCCAATCCCCTTGGCCCTGTTGATAAAATACAAGATACTAGACAAAGCACCAAGAAAAGATTTAGACTTTTTGCTGATGAGGAACCAAGTAATGTTCAAACTGAACATACCAACCCTAATACAAAAAATGATGAAGATGTAAAAGAACAATTGTTGGAGAGTCAAGCATTACCACCAAGTAAGTCGTAAATAATTCAACATTTTCCCAATTTTATTTTTTTCGTGTTATGACGTATTTATAAATAATTAAATTACTAAACTAAAAAAAACTGTCAATATACGTGCCCAATCAATTGGGTTAAAGCCATTAAATTTTCAAGATTGGAAATTTTTGTTGCATAAAGTAAAAGTATAAAACACAAAACAAATAAGAAATATCCATGGGGACAATCTCTTGGATAGAAGATAGAAAGGCATGTGAGGTAAAAATGAAATTAACCAGTGGTGTTGCATATAAATAAGATAAACCAGATTTTAAATTTATGTTATAAAATCATATGCTTCTCATAATATAAATCCACAATCCACAAATGTACAGTGCGTTCCACAAAAGATTGGCGGTCTTAGGAATTTGATGTAATCCTCAATTACATAGAGACACAATTTTTCCCGGAACTGACAGCACTTTTTTTAATGTTAACATGTGTATAATGCCCTAACGCCACTGTTTTTTTCCAACTCTAATGGGGTTGTATAAATGTAATGGAAAGCATGATTTCGAGTTGAAAAGTAATAGCTTAGCTTACCACGTTTTTATGAAGACTTTTGTGAATATTGTCTACATAAATAAAAGGTCCTGAAATTTTAATAGAATTATTTCAGTGGGATAATTTACTGATATATTTCACCTTTTTCCGGCGCAAACTTTATAAAAAAACTTTGAATAAGACCTTTTTTAAATAAAAACCTTATAACTTTCAAACGCGTTTATTTTGATTGACTTAGCTGAGCTTAGCATTTCAGATTTTTTAGAGTTGGCAAAAATTAATTTGATCTCTTTTGCTTTGTAGAAGGACAAATATATCTTTTCACAATTTTTTAAATTTGTTTTTATAAAATTCAGGTTTCCGTAATCATGTATTTGAGGTCACCCCATTTATCTGGGTGATAAAATTGACCTTTTCGGACCAAACATTTATCTTTTAGATTGTCGCATTATGAAGTAATAGGCTTTTTATTCGGTTAATTTGTTTCAAAATACTTTGTTAATAATAATTTTTACTTAATAATAAATATTTATTTTTGTTTTAGTTATTAAAGAATGCCCACCAACTTATATGGAAAAAATAACAAAATCGCTAGGCCTCAAACTACTAATAGACCTGAACTTTCTACACCTCTTGATAGGTCTAGCTTTGGGCTATGTAAGCACAGTAACATTCAGTACATTTTTCCCAATGTTTTTACAAGACGAAGCCAAATTAACAATACTGCAAACTACATACTGTATGTCAGCCTTATCATTTGCTGACATTGCCGGTAGATTGACAGTGGGAGAAATTGCAAGGAAACTGAAATTGGACAATCGGACTGTTTTCATCATTGGCGCTTTCATGCTCGGAATTTGCAGATCTGGTAAGATTAATCACTCCGAAATGTCCAATATACATAATATAATAAACCGTTCCCGAAATATATCTCCCGAAACATCGTTCCCGAAGTATCGTTCCCGAAGTATCGTTCCCGAGATATCGTTCCCGAAATATATTTCTAAAAACTCGTTCCCGAATTTTTTAACAATCTCTTAATTTTTTAGTAATGGTAGAACTATCTGACTTCAAGCACTTGCTGGCGACATCGCTGTTGGTTGGTTACTGCAGGGCTGCCACTGTAATAACGCAAAATTTGGTGGTGTCGGATTACATTTCAAGTACAGATTTGCCAGCTGCTGTTGGTTTGAATATGGTTGCTAAAGGTGTGTCAGTGCTAACTTTAGGACAAGGTTTAGGATTGTTAAAGGATTTGTTATCTTTTGCTTGGTGCATACACGTCCTTGACATTATTATATATGTAGTCGCCGTATCGTGGTCTGTTGAGCTAATGGTTAAAAGATGTATTAAGAAAAAATCGCTAAAATGTACGGAAAAAGTATAGGAGCAGTATTAAGTTATTTGTGATATAAAATACTGAGATTTTTTTAAATGTACGACTAGTTTTAGGTAATAAATTATTTTAAAGTTATAAATGCATATGTATGATTTTTGTTTGGTTAATTGTTTGTCGAAATATTAATTAACATTTAATTTAGTTAATATTATGTTGCATATATTAAATTATAAGTGAATGGCAGAAAATCTATAAATTAATTTTGATCAAAAGTTATTAACTAACAAAATGTATCGGATTAAATAAATTCAGCATTAATATCTCTATACCGGGTGGCTCATCGAAAAGAGTCCAGCAAGATTTACAGATTTAACGAATATTTTATTATTAATAATAGGTTGACAGTGGAATTTAAACTTAAAACATTAATAAATTAAAATTTTAAAAATGATATTAAGATATTAATAATATTATCAAGTTTGATAAAAGCCGTTAATTTAAGCACTAAATCGCCTAAATTAAAGTTTATAAACGAGGTGCAACTATACTTTTTCTACGACAAATACTTATTATTATCCTAAAATGATTTAAATCAAAAATTTGTATAGAGCGCCTTCTATGAAACAATAGGGGAATCTGTGTGTCACCGTCAAATGTCAAATTTTATAAACACAGATTATTAAGGTTATAAATCAAAATGTATTTCTTGAAAATTGACAGTTTTTCACAGTGAAAGTAAAGAAAATGTTTTATGAGCACTTAACAGTGGAGTCCGTGCCCGAATTTAAGTTATAGTTTACTGCCGGCGAAATTAATAGGTCAGTACAATGTTCATATAAACTTTTCAAATATTGGCGTTGAGAAACTATTTAATACTTTTGTATTTTTGTATTGAGATAATAAAATAATTTTCACATTTAGTATTATTTTACAAGTAAGGCACTTTATTTTAACGATTGTATGACATTTGACAACTGTCAACTAACTTAAAACTAACTTCAGCCCGTGCCTAAAAACCTGTTGCTAACTTCAGCCCGTGACTAAAGCACCATAAAGCCACAACTTGTCAATGTGTATTTAGTGTCATGGCAAGATGTACGATAAAGGGCGCTTTAAAGGTAGGAGTAGAAAAAATAATATTTTTCATCAGTAAAAAAAGAAAAGAAGAAGAAAATAATTAACAACAGCAAACCCTTGTAATATTTGTAGAGTGGCATAAGGGCACAATATCTGGCTTTTTGCTCGCAAATCATTGGGGAAAACCCACCTGTTAACCGCAAATGTCATATATTGCTCGGCTCGATTCAGCTAGGCAAAATTATCGCCTTTAAGTGACAGACATTTTCACCGTATCAAACTCGGATATCGGCAAAATTCCATTTACTCTAAAACCCGAAAGAATTGCTATACTTTTAATTGGCGGAAAATTCATTCCCGAACACCATTTCTATGTATAGCCTCGTAAAAAACGGTAATGTTTTACCAGTTTAAAATTTGATTGGCATCGATAAGTGTATGACAACGGTTTGAAATTATTACATCAATATTTTGTCATTTTTTTTGCTGGATTTTATGATCCATCAAACCTGACCTGTGCTTGTTGTTTTTAATAAAAATTTATAGGGAAAGTTGCAGCACCTGAAATATGAATTTTATTATGGCTTTATGTGGGCTTAAAATTTGTTTTCATTGACATTGTGCATTTTTAATTCCTCAAGCACATAAAAGTCTGCGGGTAATAAAACAAAATTAAGTGTTAAATTGCGGGTCGACACTCTGTATATTTAATTATAGATAAGAAACGAGACAAATTAATTGAAAGAGATAATAATTTCCCAGAAGAATTGCAACGTGTAGCAATTTACATCTAACCCCTTAAGATTGCATAGCCTCTAAGGAATATAGCACACTGTATGTTTTACAATACGTATCTACTGAAAATGGAATGCGATTACTCGTTTTATTGCAACGTTTAATAGCAAAAAAAAAAAGAACAACCCTACTGATTATTGCAAAAAGACGCAAATCTTCCTTGCTTGCTGTATTAATTAACTACTTTCAACGTTAGCATAAAATATTTTCCTGTCTGTCTAGCCTTGTTTATCCAGTCTGGGTTATCACATTTTAAATTTTAAAGATTTACAAATTTTAAAACAAAAACTTGACTATATTTGTCTGAAGGTTTGGTATTTTTGGTGATCGCATAATTGGAACATTTTTCTAACCGGAAAATTTAAATGAAGCTACTTACGAGGTGTGTTCAGAAAATATCGGGAATTTTCGTGTTTTGAAACAAATATTTATTTATTCGTCTACATTAATGTTGTCGCCTTCAAAATAGTCCCCATTGGATATTATGCACATGTGCCAGCTCTTCTTCCAATACTCGAAACACTTCTAAAACTCGATCTTTGAGATAGCCTTTAGTTCTTTCAGCGATGCGCTTTTATTGTCATCTATGCTTGCAAAACGACGGCCCTTTAAGGTTCTCTTTATTTTTGGGAATAGGAAAAAGTCAGACAGAGGCATGTCCGGCGAATATGGAGGCTGGGGCATCATTACAGTATTGTTATTGGCCAAATTTAACAATTTTAGAACAAATTTTGCTGCCACGCGTTTCATACCCAAAACATTCGAAAAAATTTCATGGGATGAGCTAATCGATATACCAACATCATCAGCGACTTCTCTGATGGTTTATAACCATTTCTTCCACTTTTCCATGTTTTTATCGGTTGTTAATGTGCTTGTGCGTTCGGGACGTTCGTCATCTTCAACGTCTTCACGGCCATCTTGGAAACTCTTATACCACTTGTAAACTCTTGTTTTACTTATAGCAGACTCAATATAGGCCTTTGTTAACATTTCACAGAATTTATTTAATTTTTTTAAGCAAAAATGGATACAAATTCTTTGATTTACATCACAAGGTACTTTTTCTTCACAAATCTGGTCTCGTCATCTAAAATTACTATTATTTCCCTTCAAAATCCTGAGTTTTGTCTACTTCTGTTGTTTTATTTTTGTTTAGTATAGTCTTGTCTATTTATATTCTGGACAGTCCAGGATGAGTAACTTGCCAGGTGAGGGTATGAGCACTTTGCGCATCTGTCTTGTCTTATGTGATTTTTGTATAATCTAGTCTAGTATGTGCAGTCTTGTTTGTGGTATTTTTGTTTCCAACAAAATGAAATGTTTGTCATGTAGTTACTACAAAAGTTTTTAAGAATACTTAATAGTAATTCGAAAGGATCAAGCAAAACATAAGAGAACAAGAGTATCGAAGTATAAGAGCATAGTAAAAGACTGTATATTGTCTGTAGACGGAGTTGAAGTGTATTCTTCGCATTTTACAAAGTTCATTATTCATTTAGGTTGTTAATGAGAAAATCACGTCACACTAACAGAAAAACCAAATTTCCTAACATCGCCTCTACCGAGTGAAAAAACCCTCTTTTTGCAACCCTGAGTTCATAAATTATTTAATAATTGTATTAGTCGGGACCTTTTTCAGTTTTAGTGACAAAAAATATGTGTAATTAGCGTGGTTAGAGAATAAACGGGGGTGGAATTGGCCTGGTGTGTAGGTATATCAATATCTGGAATTTGAAGTCGCCATATTTAATGGAGTCATTGTCAAGAAAGCGTTCGGATGACAATGCAGCAGCAGCAGCTCCCAATACATTAATCGCTAATCGGCATAGCCCGAACAATGGACCCATGATCTATAAAGATGGGCCAGCAGGGCCAGGCCGTTCTTTACCGATTTCTCAGCTACATTTACTTTGAAATGTGCGCTGAAAGGGACATGTGACTGCCTTGCGGTTAGCTGGCTCCACTCCAAGACGATAACACCTGGCCTCCCTAAGCATTTTTGCACTAAATAAATTATTGCGCCGCGCTTAATTTACCCCACTATCTCTCTTATTTTTTTTCACTCAACTTATGCTATTTAAATTTTTGAATCAACTCCAACAAGATTCAGATAAAGAAAGAGTAATAATACGGATGTAATAGGAAGAAAAACAGGGGACGTTGTTTATAAGAAAAATGTAAGTGTAAATCGGATTTATGAGATTGTTGAAAACAGAGGCTAATTGTGTTTACTGCTTAAGGCTTATATGTATATATTCCGTAGATTGGAGTAGGAAAAGGAGACGCGCGATGCATTTGTAAACAGTAAAGTGTTCATTTGCAATAGCTCGCAATTTTTCTTTAGCTAATTCCGAAGTTTGTATTCGCGAAAGACGCCTTCTTCTACTCAGATTAGCCGACTTATGTGGACAAGAAGGCGCCCAACCACTGAACGCCATCTAAAATATTATCTTAGTGTGCAGGACAGCGCCCCATTCGAATTTGCATACCCCCCCAACCATTCATTTATACTTTATGCTTTTTTATTTTTATATATTCTAATTCTCCACTAAAACAAGAATCGTTCTCTTGCATACTGCATACGTATTTCCTTAGTCAAGGGTTTATTTTTTTTTCATTCACTATATTATCTACTTAGGGCCATATGCAGAAACGTTGATTTATTTATATCAACTGATTTGGCAACATAGCCAATTTTAAATGACAGTAAAGCACAGTAAAGATTTGTAGGTTATCTAACATATACTTAAATATGTGTTTATTACATTATAAGAGTGATAAATTTTTAAAATGTATTATCAAATATACACATAAATACATTTATAACTGACTAAACCTTATTATTGAGAAAAACTTGGTTTTGAAGAGAATCGCGGCAATATAAAACACAACAATTGGGTTATGTTCGCAGTTTGCAATGTGTTTTGTTACAAGTATATATAGTATATATGAAAAGAATATAAAAAAAATTAAGAAACAAACTCTAGAGGATAACATATGTTAGTTAATGCTTGATATACATAAATTATGACTTCAGAGTAAACTATTTTAATCAAAAGGAGGGAGCTATACTCAAAAATTGCATGTCCAGAAAAATTGTGCTAGAAAATGGGTGGGAGGTGGGGTCTCGAAACTTTTTGTAGCATGCATATAGTTTACCCTTGCCTGCCACCCTGAATAAAATCATGGCTACACCTTTGCTGGAAATGGGGCAAGAATACCTGCTTTTTACATTTTACTCAGAATTTTATGTAGAATTTAAAAATGT